TTCTCTCTGTGCGCAGCTTCCCTCATACATTAAGCACATTCTCATGAAAGATATGATCCTTGATTTTTCAGGAGCACTCAAGGCTCACTTTGTTTGTCTTGCCTACCCCTCCACATTTGGGTCTTTCCCCATCACTAGCCTTGCCCATTCTGTCACAGTAATACTAAACTACTAAACTGCAGAGTCCAAAGCCCACATGATTTTGGTGCCTTTGCTGATACTGGGTTTTGTTTTTTTGTTTTCCTGCCAAGAATGCTTAATCCTCTCTTTGTTTGCTTCACATTTATTTATCCTTTAAAACCTGAGTTCTCCAATATGGTAGCCACAAGTCACACATGGCTATTGAGTTTTTGAAACATGGCTAATGGAAATGAAAAACTGAATTTTAAATTTTATTTCATTTAAATTAATTTAGATTAAAAATTTTAAATTGGAACAAGATACAATATGTCTCTATTAAACACAACTTTATTGATTTGGTAGGACTACATTTTACTTTCACTGCTGAAAAGTTTGTGTCCAAATTGAGATGTTCTGTCATTATAAAACACACACTAGATTTCAAAGACTTAGTACAATTAAAAAAATGTAAAATATTTCATTAATGATTTTTATAATGATTGGGTAGTGAAATAGCAATAACTTAGATATATTGACTTGAATGAAATATGTTATCAAGGTTATTTTCTCTGTGGCTACTGGAAAGTTTAAACATACATGGCCAGTAGTATACTTCTACTGGACAGTGCTGGACTAGACCTAATCAGGCGTTATCTCCTTGAGAAAGCCTTCCCTGGTCACCCAGGCCGGGTGCAATGGCTTCCTGGCTTCTCATGACACCCTCGTACATAGTGCGAGTTGGGTGGGCCAAGAAGTTCATTCTGACTTTTCCATTAGATATAACAGAAAAACAGGAGGGAGCTTTCTGGCCAACTCAATACTTAACTTTGTTAACTGATCTGATCTCTTCCTGTCTCTATCTTCCTCCCACCCATCCCCAGACTATATGTTTCACAAGGGCAGGGGCCATGTTTTATATTTCCGGTGCCCGGCACATAGTAGGTATTCAATAAGTACTTGTGAAATAAATTAATAAAGGGCTGACCTCATCAATTTCATGGTATCACAGGTATTTCAAAGTGAAAATTTCAAGTACAGCTACTTTCTAGATTAATAGTCTGTCTTAGGGCTTCCTGGAAGGCCAGTTTTCTGGCTGAGTCTCTTGGCTACTGTGTGCAGTGCTCAACCTGGGGGGATGTATTTATAGAGCAGTTCTGTAGGCTAACCTTTCCTCCTTTCCCAGAATCCTGATTCTGAGAGGATGGGTGCAGAGCAGGAATGAGCAGAAGAGGATGAGCTCCAGGAGGAATGGAGGGGGAAAAGGAGGAAGTGAGGCGAGCAGGAAGCAAGACTTCTCCTACTGCTGTCTGCGGCAAAGTGAGCTGAGTGTTGCTGCCAAGCAAACAGTGGTGTGGAGGCCTGGGGAGGAGAAGCAAGGCTGGCTGTGGTATGCCACTGGGTGGAGTTAAGATTTATAACAAGGGAGAGGCCACTGAAGAAAAGAAAGATTCTTTTAAAAATTCTGCTGAAGCCTAATTAGAAAAAAATTCCACTCCCTCATACTAAGTTTTAAGAGACTTCCCTTTCAGAATTATTTTCAGTCTAGTGGTAACAGGCAGGAAGAGTGTCAGATGTTCACCAAGCTGTAAAGCGGATACTCCCCACCCCCTAAACACAGAACCTGACCATACTGCTTTTCTGACTTGGGTTATGAGGATACAGGATATGAAGTTGTCAAGGCATAGATCTTTCCAGAAAGGAGTGCCCCTGTGGTAGAATGAAAAAAAGAATGGCTGAAGTATTTTGCAGCTGTTTTCACTGAAGAAGTGGAGTGGATTTTGCCAGGCCTTGAATCTGGGTTATACCCATGAGACGTTATACACCCTGATGTAAGCAGAGGCTTGAAAAGTGCCTGCACATTGAGGCTTGCTCTCTTCTGCTTTTTTTAGAACACTCACCATGTGAAGCAGCCTAGGCTAACTTGCTAGATACTGGGGACATGTGGCTGGTCACCCCTGTGGAACCCCCCATATGCCAGATATGCATGCGACATCACCAGGGACCACCAGGCCTCAGAAAATCTTCCAGCTGACTGCACCATGCAAGCAAACCTGGATAAATCCAGCAGAAGAACTTCCCAGCTGAGCCCAGTCCAAATTGCTGACCCCCAGAATGGTGAGCTAATAAATGTTATAGAAGTCTCTAAGTTTTGGGGTATTTTTTCATGGGGTGAAAAGCAAACTAATGTATTCTGATGAAGAGGTGTGGAAATACACAGAGAAATAGCCACCTTACTTACTCTTTATTATAATAGAGTGATTCGGAGTATGGGCTATAATCTCGGGCAAATTTGGTAAAAATGATAGTTCCTACCTTGTAGGGTTGTAATGAGAACTGTGTCAACCAGTGTGACACATGGGGTAATTAGAGGATAGTTTATAGAGGAACAGTTGTATTTACAAAGGTGTAATCAGGGTTCAGGGACCCAAAAGGGAGAGTGCAGTGCCCTAGGGCCGTGTTATCATCCCAGGTGCGAAGAGACAGGAGATGACTGAGAGTGAGGGACACAGCAGGACTAAGAGGACTCCTCCACCTGGCAGGAGCCATGACCTTGGGTTGAGAGAGGAAGCTGTTCTTCAGTGACACGTCTGAGAAGGAGCTGGAGGAATAGAAGCTCTGACCCACACATTTTCCTGCTTGCTTCTTTTCAGTGTTCCTTGTTGGTCAAATACAACTAGGAGCCACTAGACATACAGATCAGCTTCTTGTGGCAAAAAGCAAGGTGACATAAGAGGGAGAGTGGATTTGGGGCAAATGGTAGGTATCCAGTCTAAGGATTTAAAAGCGATAATGCCTATAAAAGAACTGAGCATGTACCCAGCACCCAGTAATTATGATGAAGTATCATTCAAGTATAACCAAGGGCTGTAAGAGGCAGAAAAGGAAAGGAGTATCATTTACTAGGATGGCCTAGCAAATGTTCATGGACAATATATACTTTGGAGGGGTTGGGAAAAATAGCAAAATGATAGAAATGTTTACTTGGAATTTACTATATACAGGTACCATTATTTATGCCTTACATACATTATTTAATCTTCATAGCCAACTTATGGGGGTAAGTACTGTCATTATCCCTATTTCATAGAATATAGAAATTGAGGCAAAGAGAGGTTCAGTTCAGTTCAGTTCAGTTGCTCAGTCGTGTCCAACTCATTGTGACCCCATGAATCGCAGCACGCCAGGCCTCCCTGTCCATCACAAACTTCAGGAATTTACTCAAACTCATGCCCATCGAGTCGGTGATGCCATCCAGCCATCTCATCCTCTGTTGTCCCCTTCTCCTCCTGCCCCCAATCCCTCCCAGCATCAGGGTCTTTTCCAACGAGTCAACTCTTCGCATGAAGTGGCCAAAATATTGGAGTTTCAGCTTCAGCATCAGTCCTTCCAGTGAACACCCAGAACTAATCTCCTTTAGGATGAACTGGTTGGATCTCCTTGCAGTCCAAGGGACTCTCAAGAGTCTTCTCCAAGAGAGGTTAGATAACTCAATTGTGGTCACACAGCTAATAAGTAGTAGAGCCAGGATATGAACTCGTTTCAAAGCAGTGTGGGGCATGACATTGGTTTTTTAGGCACAGAGCTAGAAAACTCTTGTAGAGGAAGTAGGGAATTGTCCAGATGGAATAGAGGGTGGGGTTTCTTCTAGAGGACAGCGAGAGAGTCTAGAGGGAGAGGTAAGGACCAGACCACTGGAGACTAAAGTGAGAGACTGAGGAATTTACCTGCCTTCTGGTAGGCAACAGGAAGCCACTGAGAATTTTCAAGAAGAGAAAGGCAATTGTAGCAGAATGCAAGGAAGGTAAATCTAGGTGTGGGGTGAAACTAACAAATCAGGGAACAATGGGAAACCAGGCTATAAGGTACTGCAGTGGTTCAAGCATCAGGAGAGGAGGGCTTCAATAAGATGATAGCAATTGAGATGAAATGCAGGACACTGGAACTACCCAATTGCATGCAAGGGAAGGCTCAACAGAACAAGGGGGCCGATGAGCTGGAGAGAGAGAAACAGGACAGGAGGTTTGGGACCCAGGTGACAGGGTCATGATGGTATCAGATGGACCACTCAGCCACATTTGGTGTACATGTTGGGAAAAAAATCTATAAAATCCAGTCTTGCCTGTTTTTGAGTTATAGTGCAGATGTCATGAAATTGTACCAATCCCTAATTAATTGCAAAATAACAACTGTTTTTGCAATATCAACTCCTGGCATATTCACTGGTGAGCCTGGAACAAGGGTGGGGGTTAACTCACTGCCCCCTAATGTAGTGAGAGACAAAGGTTGCAGGATACAGTGAGATTAGTTCTGGGGAAGATGGAAGGATGCTTGGTTGCCTGGCGACAATGCTGCCTCCATGGTAGCCCTAGGTTTCTGGTGGTCCGGATGCATCTCATTAAAAGGAAAGAGAGATGACTGGCTGACACATTTCCTGAAGTAGCATTTTCAATGTCCCAAGTCTTGGTACCTTGTTTATAAGTGGCACTTACAACATACAAGGGAAGGGAGGAAAAGGGGAGAGGAAGAAAGGTCTCCTAGGAACTTGAGCACATGAGGAGTTGATCTTGACTCTATGATTTCAGCTTGTCTAACAGAGATGGGGTGTGGAGCCTCCTTGAAATCCACCTGAAATGAATTAGCCTGAAGTAAAAGTAGGTGTTTATCTCAAGTCATTGCCTCAAATAGCTGACTACCTGTTGGAAGAAGGGTCTGATCGATGCAAACCAGAGCAGCCGTGCGTGAGCTGTTACACAGCGGTTAGTATTGATCAGAGCTAAAGGCTGCCGATAGGAATGTGGAGTGAACTGACAGGCAGAGAAGAGGAAAAGAGGAAACAGACTTCGCTGGTGGCAGCCGTACAGAGGAAAGCCGATAAAAAGTCAATTCCACTTAACTGAATGGCTGCTAACTAAATATTTGGGGGGCTAGAGCCTTCCCAGGTAGTGGCTGGCACATCTCTGTTCCAGAACTGAGATATCAAGCAAGAGCTGGGCATAGACAGGTGAGATCGCAGGGCCCTGGTCATGGATGGGGGAAGAAAAGGAGCCCCCAGATGGAGGGATGGGCAGCCTCGGTCTTGAGTGAGCTGACTAGGCACACAGGAGGACAGCCATGGACCATGGAATGATGCTGATGGGCAGGAAAGGGACAGGAGCCAGGCTGGGTTTATAAAACAGTCTCTGATTACTTAGTTTATTTAAAACTTCTATGCTTTGCTCTGCACTTAAGGCGTATTAAAATTAACTGCTGCAGTAAGAGAAAGTTGACCAATGGCTGGTCCATTCATGGGCAGAACAGTGCAATCAATTTTGCATTGCTTAGAGTCTGGTGTTGGGGGGTTGGTGCTCACTAATAACTTGGTTTCTGAACTTGCCTGTGCTCAGGATTGGGCTTCTTTCTTGAACTAAGTGTGACTATGTAACTTGTTTTGGTCAGTGAAATGTGAGCAGGAAAGACATGTGTCCCTTCTGGGTGGACATTTAATTACTAGTACACAACTTTCCTGCCCTTTGCTTGCCACTGTGATCATAGGTGCTTGCGTTCATATGGATAAGAGCAACCCCCCCACCCCGACTGTTAAGCTAATACATGGACAGTTGTCCAGAACTGCATTTGTGTGAACGAGGAATAAACTTGGACTATATCACAGTGCATAACTGCATTTGTGTGAACGAGGAATAAACTTGGATTATATCACAGTGCAGAACTGCATTTGTGTGAACGAGGAATAAACTTGGACTATATCACAGTGCTGAACTTTTGGGCCTGCTTGTTACCCAGCATAATGGAACTATTTCTGACTGGGACAAGTGGATTGGGTTTTAGAATCTTGTGTCTAGTAGTTGCATAGTAGTTGAACCATGATTTGGTTCATTACCTAATCCATCCTAATCTGATTGGACTATTCATATAAAGCATATAGAAACAGTAACAACCACAATAAAAATTATGATGCGTTGAAAGCTTACCACATATAAGCATGGCATAGGCTCTGCCTATATTAACTCGTGTAATTCTCAAAGCAAAGGATCTATTAATATTATTGTTCCCATTTCAGAAACATGGAACTCAAAGTTCAGAGAGGTTTAAAGAATTTTTCATGGTCACACAGCTTGTAAATGACAGGTAGGAATTCAAGCCTAGCCAGGTCACTTTAGAGCAGTTTTTCTTAACCATTTTCCTATCCTGGTTCTTAGCTTAGGTGGTCAATACATAGCAGGACTGCCAGTATAGCTTGGGATTAAATTCACAAATAGGTTTGTGTTCAAGCACTCTGTATGGGAGGAGAAGAGAAAAATGTAGCTAGTGTTTCCTTTGCGCTCTCACTATTCTGTCTACCCCACCCCTTCCCACAAGCCTCTGTAAGGTTTGAGCCTGTCTGGAATAACCTTCTCCATTTGTTACCTCAATCTTGGGTATCTCTGAAGCTCCAGATCAATTCCCTACTCACTCATGATTTAAGCAAGGAAACTCCTTACCAGTGGAAGAGACTGAATGGACTTCTGTCAGAGGATGCTATTCTGAGGAATTTCTCGTCTGTATAAAATGGGGGTAATAACACCCATCTCACTGGGTTGTTACACCATTTTTCATCTGTTTTTTAATGTTGTATTCCAGGTTCTAGACACTGTGTTATGTGGTTTTATGTGTGTAGGTGTTTGTACACATATACATAAGAGATAGATCTATCTATTTACCTACCTACCTATCTTTTAATTTTCACAGCAATCCTTGGAGGTAGATATTGTGTTTACCTTACAGATGAGAAAACTGAGGCTCAGAGAATTTAAATACTTTCTCAGAGGTCACCCGGCTAGAATGAAGGGTGGGGAGTTAGTTCAAATTGCAGTTCCAAAGGGCTTCCCTGGCTGCTGAGTGGTAAAGAATCAGCCTGCAATGCCAGAGATGTGGGTTCAATACCTGCCCTGGGAAGATTCCCTGCAGAAGCAAATGGCATCATGCTCCAGGATTCTTGCCTGAAAAATTCCATGATCATTCCAAAGCTCGGTCTTTTTTCTGTTAAACTCTCGTGCTTTTCTCTCACTTGTGGAGCTGAACTAGAACAAGACAGTTAAGAACCTCTTGGAGCACGGGGCCTGGCACTTAATGTGAAGGGCTTCCCTGGTGGCTCAGATGGTAAAGAATCTGCCTGCAGTGAGGGAGACCTGGGTGTGATCTCTGGGTTGAGTTTTTCTTCCACTTGTGGAGTTAAACGAGAACAAGATAGTTAAGATTCTCTTGGAGTACAAGGCCTGGCACGTGGTAGCACTAATTATGGCTCATTCATAAACATACATTTATTTAACTTGTTTATTATTAGTATTTGCTGCGTGGCTTGTGGGACTTTAGTCCTTCTCCAGGGATTGAACCTGGGCCATGGCAGTAAAAGCAGCAGGTCCTAACCACTGGACCACCAGGGAACACCCCATAAACTTTTATAGAGCAGCTTCTCTGTACTAGGTAGTGTGCTCCAAGAAATTCTTCAAGGAATTCTTCAAGGAATTTGAGAACAAACATATAAGGAAACCATTTCTTGTCCATACTGCCTTTCAAGATACTCCTGGGCTTCCTGCAGTGCCAAATCCTTAGAAAGCACTGAACAGAGGGGATCCCAGGCCAAACGAGCGATGGGAGATGGGGAGGGGCAGAAGCCCTCTTCCTACTGGTGAGCCTTCTCAGTGGTCTGGGTCCACAGCCAGCCTGCAGGCCACTGGACGGCTGTGCAGGTGTGAGTGGGCCCCTCGAGAGCGGAGCAACCCAGAGCAGTTAAGACCCTGCTGCCCGATGAGCACCCGCCATTCAGCACTGCAGGCACGCCTCTGAACAACCCTTGGGGAGGCCACGTGCGTTGTCTCATATCCAAAGCTGGTGTTTGAACCCAGGATCAAGCTTTACCCACTACATCACACTGCCCTTTCCTTATGACCTTGGGTGATGAGAAAAGGATGATGATGGAATACTTTTCGATCATAGTTGGAATTTACCTGGATTGACCTGTAGCTTCCAGCCAGCCCCATGGGGAGGAGGAAGAGTGCTCATCTCTTGTCAACTGAACCACCATAAGATCCCCAGGAATAAGGAGCCTGACACTACACACCTCCTGCCGTTGTTCTGGGGATCATGCCCAGTATCTTCTTCTATTTACCCCGCATCCGTCCATCCATCACTGACCCCCTGGGACTGAAGAGAAGCTGTTTCAAAGAAGTTAAATGGTACCTAGGATTGGTTCTTATTTTCTCTGTGCCCTTTTGAGGCTGTTTTATAACTTTTCTGAGTAACTGGCCCTTCTAAGTTCCTTAATTGGGGGGATCATCTTTGCTCTCTTCTTGTCAAAGGTTAGTTACTTAAGAAATGACTTCCATTTATTGACATATCAATGTATTGATGTGTGTGTGTGTGTGTGTGTGTGTGTGTGTGTGCGCACACCATCTTTATGCCTGGGTTCCCTGCAACCAATAATTTGGGTATATGCTGAGGGGAGCGTGCCCCAGCTATTTTGAGTTTCTGTACTTAACGCCTAGCAATTTTAATAAACTTCATTCCTTTAGGTAGTAGACTTAATATTTTAAGTATGGTTTTAATTACCATCTTTCTCATGTTGAAGGCAAAACCGGGAAAAGGAGGGAAAAAAATCTAACCTATGAGCCCTGCCAGCGATTCCACTCTTTGTGAGAACGAAGGCCAGAATTTCAGAACATAGAGGCTAGAGTCTCTAAATTGTTTCTTCAGGCGTGGGCACATCATGCTTAACTCACTTCGAATTTCACTGGGTTCTGTTCTCCCAGCACAGGCTGTAAACATTTATCTTTGGGCTTTCCCAGAAATGTGTCTTATGGAAGGGATTAGCTGTTTGCGCATTTAAAGTTCTGAAGGTGAACTCCTCTAACCTAACCCACATAATTAAAGTGGAAAGTTTCTGGTGGAGGAAAAAAAAAAAATCAGGGAAAATACCATGTTTGGAAAGAGAGCAGGACTCCTACGGTCTCAAGAGATGGCTCTGCATTCCCGGGCACTTAATTATAACCCGTCTCGCTGGGCACTCAAGTTCTTCACTCTGCTGCGTTATCTCTGCATTGAGATGATCAGCAGTTTGAGGATGTGGTGTTGGAGTGGGACAGGTGGTTGGTTTTATAGTATAATTTTTAAACATGACATTCATTAATTTTTACTGTGAGAATACATGGAAGAAAAGAACAAATAACAAAATAAAGCAATACTCTTATTGTTCTGATAAATTCTGTTGGTATAAAACAAAATCAATGTGCAAAGCTGGGTTTGAAAACTCAAATCATACAGAAAAGTATAAAATGAACATGAAAAACCCTGTCTCCTCACCCAAGCTTGGTCCTCTCTAGGAAAACTAACACTGTTAATGTTTTCTTGCAATTCTTTCCTTCAATTAAAAAAATATATTCATGGTATAATTTTAGCAGGACCCAGGAAGCCCTTGTTCCTACTTATTGTCTGTCCTCTTTGTGATCATGGCTGATATTTCACCCTTACAGATTCACTCCTTTCAAAATCCTTTAGCTATTTCTTTTAATTAAAAGATACTGATTTTGGGAAAGATTGAGGGCAGGAGGAAAAGGGATGACAGAGGATGAGATGGCTGAATGGCATCACTGACTCAATGGACATGGGTTTGGGTGGACTCCGGGAGTTGGTGATGGACAGGGAGGCCTGGTGTGCTGCGGTTCCTGGGGTTGCAAAGAGTTGGACACGACTAGGAGACTGAACTGAACTGAACTGAATATTTACTTTAAATCTTACTTCTACTTGTAAAAAAATAAAAAATAAAAATGCAAGTGGCAAAAAGCAATATTAAAGGTTTGTTACCCACCCTCCCTCCAATTGGAGACTGTGTCTGAATAAAGAGTTCTGGGTCTGGAATTATACCACTTAGATCAAATCCAGGGTCTAGCCCTTGTTGACTCTATGCAACATCTCTATGTCTCAGTTTCTTTATCAGTAAGGTGGGGCAGTAATAGAACATGCTTCCTAGGGTTGTCATGAGAAATCAATTAAAGAAATCAATGAAAGAAAAGTACTAAGAACAGTGTAATACATGCCATCACACAGTAGGTCTTGAAAGACACTAGCTGCTATATCTCTTATATAAAAATAACTAAATATAAATAGTTCCAAAGCAAGTGTCCTTTGTGAGTGTCTAACACATGTTAGACATGGTTTGGAGTGCCTCATGTACATAACACATATAATTCTCCATGTAGCCCTAAGAAGGTACTAGAAATCATCCATTTTACAGAGAAGGAGACTCAAAAGCATAATGTAACCTGCCCAAGGTCATACGGCTAGGTCTCAAGGGTGAGCTGGGCTTCGAGGGCACATCCATCAAAAGATGGCTAAGGCCATAGGACCAACTGAAGAGGGGAGCACAGAGAGACTTCTGGAGATGTCAGTGGGAGTGTGGGTATGCAATGGGGGGCAGTGCAGAAGGGGAGGGATGACTGGAGGAGACAGGGAAAGGCTGGTGCCTGGATGAAGAAGACATCCAAGGAACTGTGCCTGTCATGAGATTTTGCCTGGGGACAGTGCAAGATCTGATTTCCTCTGTGTTCTCCCACGTTGCCTGGAAGTTGCTAGAAGCCACAGAACAGAACTGGACATGGAACAGCAGACTGGTTCAAAACTGGAAGAGGAGTACATAAAGGCTGTATATTGTCACTCTACTTATTTAACTTTTATGCAGAGTACATCACGCCAAATGGGCTGGCTGAAGTACAAACTGGAATCAAGATCACTGGGAGGAATGTTAACAACCTCAGATATGCAGATGACACCACCCAATGGCAGAAAGAGTAGAAGAACTAAAGAGCCTCTTGGTGAAGGTGAGAAAGGAGGGTGAAACAAGCTGGCCTAAAACTCAGCATCCAAAAAACTAAGATCTTGGCATCCAGTCCCATCACTTCACAGCAAATAGAGGGGGGAAAAGTGGAAACAGTGACAGATTTTATTTTCTT